TCAGGCCCCACGACTGGACCCCCCCAAAAAAATTACCTTTCCAGTCATATTAAAATTGTATTTGAATACAAGTATTCAAATAATATAACAGAATGAGTTTTCTTTAGCATATATATTAGTATCTTTCTAACAATAAACACAAATTTATGAATAAAAATGTTATGATTGTATAACTGTGAATGTTCTAAATGCCACTGAATCATAGTTAAATGGTGTGTTGTAGGATATGCAAATTATATTTCAACAAAGCAGTTTTTCAAGTTCTGAAAAAATTGAGATTATAGTCTATATTTTCTACATTTTCTTAACAATAATAGGAATGAAAGAAAAATGTTATCAGTGATAGACCAATTGTAGAGCCTTTTATTAGAGGATGCTCTTAATAAATTTTATCTTATTTGTTTGGATGTCATTTTACCAATATGTTCAAATAAAACTTCTAAAATAAGCTGGGCACAGGTGGCTCACACTTGTAATCCTAGCTACTCAGGAGGCTGAGATCTGAGGATCGTAGTTCAAATCCAGCCTGGGCAGGAAAGTCCCTGGGACTCTTTTTTTTTTGGGGGTCCAGTCATGGGGCCTGAACTCTGGGCCAGGGCACTGTCCCTCAGCTCTTCAGCTCAAGGCTAGTGCTCTACCACTTGAGCCCCAGCGCCACTTCCGGCTTTTTAATTTTTGCTTATGTGGTGCTGAGGAATCAAACCCAGGGCCTCATGCATGCAAGGCAAGCGCTCTACCACTGAGCCACCTTCCCAGCCCGTCCCTGGGACTCTTATCTCCAATAAACCACTCAGAAAACTGGAAGTGGTGCTGTGGCTCAAGTGGTAGAGCATTTGCCTTGAGCTAAAGAGCTGAGGGACAGCTTCCAGGCCTAGAGTTCAAGCCCCATGATCAAACAAACAAAAAAAAAAAACAATTCTAAAATAAAAAGTTCTCACTCAAAATGGGGGATATACTACCAAGTGCCTCAATGGTTTATGGCTGTAATTCTAGCTATGCAGGAGTATGGTTTCAAGGCAGTTTGGAGAGACAAATCTTAGAGACTATTAAGAGAGTCTTACCTCCAATTAACTAGCAAAAAGCCAGACATAAGGTTATAGCTCAAGTGGCACAGTGCCCAGACTTGGGTGAGAAGCCACATACACTCATCATAAGCACACACTATGGAATATTACATAATCAAAAAGAAAAGTGAAATCATATCATTTGCAGAAAAATACATGGTACTGGGGGACGTCACATTGAGTGAGACAAACCAAGACCACAAAAACCAAATTATGTTTTCAGCTCACAGGTGAGAGCTAGACCTAGAAGACATACATATTTATTGACTATATATGTGAATACATATATAAAAAGATAAACAGCACATGAATCTAAGGGATGACTTACGAGGGGAAGGGCACAAGGGAAGGAAGAGGGGAAAAAGATAGAAGATGTATAATTTTGTAATACATTGCAAAAATCATAAGGAACCTCAACTGAAAGCTATTGATCAATAAGAGCATAAGGAGTGGGAAAAATACATTCTATGGTGTGTGAGTTCAAGTGGGAATATGTTGGGATAACAAAGATTACAGAGGTTCAATATGATCCAAATAGATCATTTGCAACTATGAAAACAGAGCATTGAAACCTACTGACATAGTCTTGGGAAGTCCTCTATTGATCAACAGCTTTCATTGAGGTTCCTTATGATTTTTGCAATGTATTACAAAATTATACACCTTCTAATGATTCAATGAGTAATTACAAATATAAAAAAAATACATGACAATTAGGGTATGGGTAGGGCTGGAAAAGATGGGGAAGAATTATGAAAGGGGTAGCATAGATTAAGATGCATTATACTCATAAACTGACATGTTTAATTGAAACTCTGTACAGGTACTTCAAGATAACAAAAAAAATTAAAAACAGATGACAAAAACAAAATCAATAGAAAAAAGAAAATATTAGAAAAAGAACCTAATGGCCCAGTGCCAGGCTCATGCCTGTAATCCTAGCCACTCAGAAGGCTGAGATCTGAGAATTGTGGTTCAAAGCCAGCTCAGAGACAGTACCCAGGCCAGGACTGGTACCAAAAAGAACTAAACATACAACTACAGAAATAAAAGTCAATGCATGGGCAAAACAATAGAATAACTCAGGACACAGAAATCAGTGAACTTGAAGATACAAGTACACAAATTATCCAATATATACATCATATAGAAAAATAGTTTATAACTATCAAGTAATTATAATTATATATCTAATTATAACTTATATCTTGAGATTTTTGGAATTTTACTCTAAATTATATTTTTCTCATTTCTCTTAAGCTTTTTAAAAACAGCACACTAATACTAAATAATAGAAATAAATGGTACTAAAATTCTAATAAACACAATAAAATATTCAATACTTTCACACTGTATGATTGCTATAAACACAAAAAGAGTAAAAATAATTCCTCCAATTTTTATTAAACCTACACACTAAAACAAGAATACAATGCTTCTCTTGCTAAGATATATTAATTATCTAATTACTGCATATGATTGAACATACCCTCATTGTTTTCATGGTACTAATTTGATAATACTTACCTTCGAACTACATCTGGTTTTTGAATAGCTACTTGCTCAGCTCCAGCTGGTTGGGATATAGGCTGCAAATAGTATAGAAATAAAGTGTGTTATGATAATGGCAAAATTCAAGCTAAAGATACAATTTCAGAAAGCATGATTGCTACATTTCATATTTTAGTTTATCTTGCAAATCAAGTAGAATGTCTCTTGTTATTGTCTATACCAATCAAATTATTGACATTATTTCATCAAGTACATCTTATTCATTAAGATTTGGGGGGGGCTGGGAAGGTGTCTCAGTGGTAGAGTGCTTGCCTTGCATGCCTGAGGCCCTGGGTTCGATTCCTCAGCACCACATAAGCAAAAAGAAAAAAG